TCTCTTTGGTAACTGGAAAAACAAAATACTAAGTTATAAATGTCGTCAGACAGAAAACATCCCCAAAACAATAGTGTCAAAACCATGCAGACTGTTGTCCTTAGAATAGAGTTTGTAAGTTCCTGGTTAATCGATGATGACTGTGTAAATTGTAGAAACGTTGTGTATAATAAAATATAAAAGTAGTGTATAAAATTGTGTTCATTAAGAATTAATCTTGTTTATCAATTAGCTCTCTCTTGTGGACGAATTCCTAATAGCTAAATAGTCCCATGATATTGTTAATCAAAAAAAAAATGGCCAATTGAGAAAGAAAAACCCTGCTATAAAAGTTGAGATGAAAAAATCTTGTCTAAAGATATTCGATTAAAAAGGATATAAAGTTAGCAGAAAGCCAGACGGGAAGTTATTAAATAAATTACTGTCCCTAGACATCAATCTATGTTAGATGAGAATAAATATCTAGACTTATTTTATATTCTAATGATCAACTTGTCAATATATCTAACTATTTCATACTACCAATATTTAACAACAGAAATAAAATGAATGGAATTTTACGTCCTACTTTTCTGTACCATGTGGTCTAATGAAGACAGGCAACGCCATGCAGGGTACAATGTGGGCATTAGCTTGCTCTTTTTCGATTTCCAACTGTCGTGGGATCTTTAACATACACAACCTGTAGCACACGGGACTTTGTTTATTGTCCTGTCCTTTTTCCATGTCTTGGCCTATGCCGGGATTGAACCCTGGGCCTTCAGGAAAGAGAGCAAACGAGCAAACGTCTTAACTCACTGAACCACCGTGGCTCCCTTTAAACAACAGTAGAATTTTTAATGATACCTGTATGTTTTTAAAAGAACACATTCACAATCTGTTTGATCAATGGTAAATTTACCTGGATGTTTTATGACATTATTATTACAAAGATTTTTAGATTTTATCAGCAACTATTCTGATAATAACATCATTAAACACATACTTATAGTGGAATTTCAGGAACCATGGGCGTCTGATTGAAAATTAGAATGATACTATCAGTGTCCCTGATATACATATAAATTTTAGAAAATCACTCAATAATCCTTTCAAGCAAACCTTATAATAAGCTAAAATAACAGAACAACGCTGATATAGAATATTATGGTGTCTATTGAAGATATAATATAAAGATAAAGATATATATATATAACAGTAGTCCAGATTGTCTCCAGTTAGAATAAAGTTAAAGATCTTTATAAGTCTATCAGTAATTGTTTATTTTATTTCTGGTTTTATTACCTTCTGTTAAAATGTCAGTCTTGTTAACTTTTTTCCTTACAGACAAATTTACACTTACTTGATAATTCTAAAATCAATCTTATAGATAATAAAATATCTTAAGATAGAATAGAATAGCTAGAGAAGATAATTATGTCTTGGTTTACAATCAGAATAAAGAGATTTGATCATATCAAAAAAAGAATTATTTAATTTGAAAAAAAAATGTATAGTTAAGTCCAAGTTTTCTGCACCTGATAGGGTTAAAGAAGACAGGCATGCAGTGTGCAATGAGGGAAATTGCAGGACGGCGGGATTAGCCTTCTCCTTTTCTATTACCAAATGTCAAGAGATCTGAACATGCAGAGCCTGTAACACACATAGTCTTGGTTAATTGTCCCAACCAACTTTTTCCATGTCAGCCCATCTTTCCTACATCACTCACAAGGGGAAACAGGGGTGAAAATATCAGGTATTATCTTGACCCTTGCTCTGATGTATTCCTGGACCTTCAGATCATCTAACTTAATCAACAACTACAGCTTCCGAGGAATTATTGAAAATAACAACTAAAATAATTCTTACCATATCATTACAGTAAAACCACCAGATATCATAGGGTAGTTGAAAATCTTCTATATTATCTTTAAATAAATCAGATATAAACTGTGGTTCTGGTAATATATCATGATTATAATCTTCACGGTGGTATACAGATCTTGTTGGATGTCTGGTATCAACTCGTTTTCTAGGTCTACAAATATAAATAATAATATATTATATTTAATACAGGATTATATTCTTATTTCATTTTCAAAATTATTAAACCATTCTCCAGCTTACTGATATTAAACACTAACCACTAACACTAACTATAACTAGAGTCAGTACATACAGTCAACCTCTCTATTATTGATTAGATGACAGAATACCTTTAAACACTAACTACTAACACTAACTAGAGTCAGTACATACAGTCAACCTCTCTATTATTGATTAGATGACAGAATACCTTTAAACACTAACTACTAACACTAACTATATCTAGAGTCAGTACATACAGTCAACCTCTCTATTATTGATTAGATGATAGAATACCTTTAAACACTAACTACTAACACTAACTATATCTAGAGTCAGTACATACAGTCAACCTCTCTATTATTGATTAGATGACAGAATACCTTTAAACACTAACTACTAACACTAACTATAACTAGAGTCAGTACATACAGTCAACCTCTCTATTATTGATTTGATGACAGAATACCTTTAAACACTAACTACTAACACTAACTATAACTAGAGTCAGTACATACAGTCAACCTCTCTATTATTGATTAGATGACAGAATACCTTTAAACACTAACTACTAACACTAACTATAACTAGAGTCAGTACATACAGTCAACCTCTCTATTATTGATTAGATGACAGAATACCTTTAAACACTAACTACTAACACTGACTATATCTAGAGTCAGTACATACAGTCAACCTCTCTATTATTGATTAGATGATAGAATACCTTTAAACACTAACTACTAACACTGACTATAACTAGAGTCAGTACATACAGTCAACCTCTCTATTATTGATTAGATGACAGAATACCTTTAAACACTAACTACTAACACTAACTAGAGTTAGTACATACAGTCAACCTCTCTATTATTGATTAGATGACATAATACCTTTAAACACTAACTACTAACACTAACTATATCTAGAGTCAGTACATACAGTAAACCTCTCTATTATTGATTAGATGACAGAATACCTTTAAACACTAACTAACACTAACTATAACTAGAGTCAGTACATACAGTCAACCTCTCTATTATTGATTAGATGACATAATACCTTTAAACACTAACTACTAACACTAACTATATCTAGAGTCAGTACATACAGTCAACCTCTCTATTATTGATTAGATGACAGAATACCTTTAAACACTAACTACTAACACTAACTATATCTAGAGTTAGTATTGATTAAAATAAAGGATATTGATGAAGACACGTGTTAGTTAATGGATATATCTGGTGACAATTATAAACTATTTATTGTCTATGTCCGGACATAGTTTTATCTTTTTTATTTTCACAGTTTTCATTCTTTATCATCCTATACTCTATTTTATCATTGTGTCTTTTAACAGCCATACAAATCAAGTCATTAGTTTATGTGTAATAGGTGGAAACTGATATCAGACAGACTCTCGTATTGGCCGGCCGGCAGCATTGTAATATGTCTTTTAATGCTGTACGAAGCCTATAGTATGTGTTTTAGGAGGTGAAAGCTGACACCAACTCTCAGAAGCACTAACCCTGACTGTGGCATCAGAATTTGTCTTTCCTTGAGGAGGATTTGAACCCACAGCACCTAATAACCTAGCAGACGACAATGTTCCTAGTTAGTCTGACAATTTTGAATGGAGTTTTACGTCCTGCCTATCTGCACCAAGGGGGCTAATGAAGACAGCCAACACCATGCAGTGTGCAATGAGGGAAATTTTGGCATTAGTCTTCTCCTTTTCAATTTCCAACTGTTGAGGATCTTCAACATGCAGTCTGTAGAACACAGGTCCTGGTTTATTGTCCCATCTGATTAATTAGACTCTTTTTCCAGGTCTGAATATCTGATGATATTTTTAATGGCAGTATGAATCAGACGACAATCTAATTTGTTATTATTGACTGTAATCTATTAAATGATCAGTGGATGTTTTTAAGTGTTATAGTTTGTATAATTATCAGGTGACAGTGAGAGTTGATATAATATCACTCACCTGATTAATTATAATATCATATCAATTGATAATTACTATCCTATACATCATGGTTAATACATGTTAACCAAGTTAATTACTCTTAATTAGCTCTAACTAGAGCAGAAAAAAGAACTGAGAATCAATGCTATTCAGTGTGAAATGAGAGAACTTTTGACAGCGCATTAGCCTATTTTTTTTTTCAAATCTCAAGGGATTTTATTGTGAAAAACCTGTGTTACAGTATTTATTGTCATATCTAAATGACACGACAATTCTCAAAGATC